TTGAATTTTTAATATATAAATAATTTTGAAATTTACATTTATTGCTAAAGTACAAATTGTGTTTGGTATTTTGTATTTATTTAAAAATTAGAGAAAAAGTCTCACATAATGATATCGACCCTGATATCAGTTTCCCCACATTAAACCCAGCATATATGGGGTTAAAACCAAAACACTTATTCCCTGCTTACTCTCTGGCTTCCTGGCTCCAGAATCCACTATCTTGCATGGAGACAGACACTGTCAAGGACAAGCACCTGGACTATCTCCTCCAGCAAAGAGATAGGGCCAGTGGGAAAGCTGCTGACCAGCAAGGTCATGAGCTCCCTCCTCTCTGCAAGTAGTCTCAAGGCCAAAGACAGGCTGGTGGGAAAGCTCTGACCAGCAAGGCCATATGCTCCCCCTCCCCTACCTAAAACCCCAAATAAAAACCCTTCCTTTTAGCTTTTCTGGGAGTTTGGGATTTCAGCATTAGCTGCCCTCTCTCCTTGCTCAGCACTGTGCAAAAATAAAATTCCTACTTTCTTCCACCACACCTGGTGTCAGAGATTGGCTTGCTGCGCAAGGGGTGAGCGAACTCACTTCAGGTTCGGTAACAATAATACGCCATGTGTGCATTCCAAAATATCAATGCATTACTAGTACAAAATTATACTACATAGAACTAGATGTAAGTATAAACAATTACCTACCCACTTTGTGGGTTGCTGTTTGATAAAAATTCAAAATTATAAAAACTGAGAAGATCTGTTGGAGACAATGATTGAATAGACCATATGTGAAAATATACAACACACAAAATTAAGATAGAAATAAATCTGGTAAAATATTGTCAACATGTTTTACAAATGAATATTAACACTCATTATACAAAAATGCCTCAGTATTAATAAAAATGATTATTAATGATCGTTAAGAAAAGTGCCAGCAGCAAGATAATTCATCAAAACTTTGGCATCCAATAAATTTGCTTTAAAAATGAGAAGAGTAGATCCTTGCTAATCATCAAAGAGGTTTTACTTTAAATACTATCTTACTAATACTATCTTATACTATCTTATCTTTTACACATAAAACAAATAAATCTATATGCTTGGAAAATTGGTAGCATTTGTTTCTCTCTTTCAGGTGTGATTGGACAAATTTTATTATCATGATAGTGCTCCTCATCTGGCTACCCGCACTTTGAGATCAGTAAACAATCCTTGTACATCCAAATATATCCTTTTCTGTCCTAAACAGGAAGAATTCTTTCTTTCTGTGAGAGAAGGAAAAATTATCTCTATAATAAAGCAGTAGGAAGAAGTTAAGGAAGAGTAAAAGAGAATATTCTAAGAGCTGGAGATGACTGAGGTTTTGATAAAGGTTTTGAGGAGAAAAGGTATGTAATAAAACGTCTGACTTCGTTTTGATGTTTGACTACTCACAGCTTTCAAGCTCTACCACTTCCCCTCCCCCTTGTACCCTACATATGGATAAACTGATAAAAAACTCACTGCCCCACCTTTTGGTGCCAAATGGAAGGTTGAACCATGCAAGCCTTTTCCTGAACGTGGGAATCCTCACCCACTCAACACAATACAAATCCCAAATCCGACTACCATTCCCTGCTCCCTCAAGCCATTTTCAGACCAGCTTGGGAGCTCACACTGCTCACATGAGAAAGCCTCACTGTGTGAGCAGTAATCTTTTCATCCTCTCTTGGTGAGTGTGTGGCTTTGTGAATCTGGACATCTAAAGCAAATTTATATAGAAAGCTTCATCCATTTCTGTGGAGTGGCTACAACAGTGTGTCAATCGACCTAGGACTTACATGCATTCAGTTTCCTAGAAACTGAAAAGGAAAATGAACATTAAATTAAGCCTTGCTATTGAACTGGAATATCAATCATAACAAAAATTCAAGATATTAATCTGAGAAGGAAGGTTTGAATGCTAGTGATTGGAAAATTCATTTTTATCTAATGGTTTCCAAAAGCTGTTACTAAATCTAAGGCCCATGAACTGAAGATTTATTTTAAATAAATACATAATTTTAATGTGAAACCATTGTGACAAATATTAAAGCAAATATAGCAAGTAAAGCAGAGATGGCAATTAATCAAGCTGTTTTCCCAAAAGAGATCATTAATATGTTCCTCTACTCTAGATTTTTTAATTGACTAATAACTGAAAAAGTGATCTACCATTTCAAGAGATATAATTTGGTCCCCAAACACTAGCCATCAAATAACTGCATATTCTTGAATAGAAAACTATACTGTTGTTCAATGTTTGCTAAAAATAATGTAGTAAAAAAAAAGTTTCCTGAGGGATCACATACACACATTCGTCAAAATGCAAAGTTGTCTCATAATATCCAGGTGATTTTAAACTGTACTGGCTTCATAAAGATTCCTTCCAGGTTCACTAGATCATTAAGGAATTTCTGGTTGAACTTTATGACAGAGTATTGAACACTGAAAGCATCAGGTAGTAGAAAAAACTATACTCAATCTCTCTTGGGTGGGAAAGCCTTTGGATTTGCAGAACTATAACTTTTATTCACTTAATCATTTAACAGATAGTTATGGACCATCTTTGTACTGTATACTATTAGAGGTAGATGATTAAATTGTGTATAAAATAAGTAATATTCCATAAAAATAGCAGTTTTAAGTTTAGAATTGATTACAGATAAGTTAGCAGTCTGTTGCATTATGGTGTTGTAACAAAAAACTCAACACTATAAGTCCTATAATAAATAAATCCGGGGATGCAAAACCATATATATGAGGAGGACTTAATCTGGCCTGAAAAATACTGAAAGCCTCCAAGAGGAAGTGATTCAACAGAGTACAGAGAGTTAACTAGAAGGAAAAAGTTCTGTCTCACATTTGAATAACAGTGGTAGTTTGGAATATCTGCAACATGGTGATTATATGAAGAGTATTGGAAGATAGCCTGATCTGAGATGCAGGAACTAGATTTTTAAGAGTTATGTCAGCCATGTGAAAGAAGTTAGAATTTATCTGATGGACAATGGGAAGACATTGAAGGATTTCATCAAGAGTATAAAAGAATGAAGCTGTGTCTGAAAAAGTTTATATAAACTGAAATGTGAGGAACAGAGAAAAGTAGGAGAGATTGGAGGCAAAAGTGAAAGGTACGTGCCATTTGCAAAAAATGTCCAGCAAAACAGAAAGTCATTGTGGTTGGATCAAGGAAACAATATAAGTAAACAGATTTGAAAAGTGTATAGGTTATAAAATTGGTAGGAATTGGGGACAGATTGAATATTGGCAGGAGGAACAGAAAAGTACAGTAAACAAAAATTTGTCTCTGATTTGAAAAACTGAATGGATAATGGCCTTATTCATTGAGATACAAAGTATATACTCCAGGTCTTGAGTATCAGGTCCAATGTGCAGAGACACCAAGGTCTTTTCTGAATGCAATACTTTCGATGAACACCTAGAATATCTAAGTGGTGATTTCTGGGAAGCATTTAGATATATAAAGCTGGAACAGAGAAAATAAATCTGGAATAGAAATATGTACTTGTGCATAATCAGCAAGTAGATACTTATTGAGGACATTGGACTGGATAAGATTTTTGAACAAGAAGCTGTAAAGAAGGAAAGCTGGAAGGCTTTGGAGACGGCCTGAAGAATGTGTCATCTAAAGCATAGATAATGGGAGCAGAGCCGCCAAGGTGCAGAATCAAATGGACAAATAATGAATTCAGAGATTGCTTTCTTCTGGAATCCAAAGGTATATCCAATAGAGTTCGGTACTACAGAGCTGCCAAAGAAAAGGAGGCTTTATTGGATTTAGGAATAGGGAAGATGACAGTAAACTTGGTAAGGGGATTTCTTGATTGAATAGGAAAGGAAAGTGGATTATACTTGCTTAAGTTGTAAATATGGTTGAAAAATTGGGAGTAGATGCCCATTCTAAGATATTTGCTTGAAAAGTGGTGAAAGGAAGAAAAAAGATAAAGGAGTAACAAAAATAAGGTTTACAAGGAAATGTCGATCAAAATTTAAGAGGGCAGATGCTTTTTCTATTTTATTGTTTTACATGTCTTGACTGTCTATAAGGTGCATGCAAAGTAACCTGAGACAATGTAGTGATAATGTCAGAAAATCAAGTTGATTTATTTTCTGCTTTAAGAATGGAGGAAAATGGGTTCAACTCTGCTAACTTTCAAGTGTTCAGAATCCAGCTTGGGTTTATGGAAATGTTCTCTGGAATTTAGATGTTCTAAATGCTGCCCAAATGCTATTCACTTGAGACCACTTAGTTACTGAAGATAGAGGCTAAAATGAAGTCTCTTAAACATTTACAGCCGTTTTACAATCTGGAAAATTATTCACTGGTGTGCATTTTGCCAAAAGACAAAGCCAGCAAATTCACAACCCTATTTTACCTTAAAGTCAGTATTATATATGTATTAGAAAAAAAAGTAGAAAATGGAGATGAGCAAAAGAAAATTTTAATGTTACATCAAACAGGACACCTAAAGATAAAGTGTTAATATTTTGCTTTTGACTTTCATTTTACATTTTTGCCACATAGTTTTGGTAATTTTTAATATTCTGATGAAATTATGCAATAATTTTATTAGATAAACTTCTAATTTAAGAAAGTATTTTGATATGCATTATCATAGGCACTTGCATTCTTAACGTTGCTTTTTTCTTTTGTATTTTAAAAAAAGTACAACACAGACTTTGATTATAAAATTTTAATTGAAATATTCTCTGTTTTTACAGCTCTCAAGTGGATTTTATATCCTGGAATTGATGCTTGGACCAAATCCTTTCATACTGAAAGTATAACTATAATCCTCACATACTTCAGAGTGCTTATCAGGATTCTACTTTGACTGAACTTAATATAACATCCTGGTGAGCCAGGGCTATCTTCTCACATTTAATTGACTATTTCCTACAAAGTCAAGGGTATTCAGAGACAGTGCTCTGAAGGAGTTTATTATAGAATTGGTTATCTATTTCATGGCAAAAGGCAATCATTCAGCAATCACTGAGTTCATCCTCTTGGGCCTCACAGGTAATCCCAAGCTTCAAGCCATTCTCTTTTGTGTATTTTTACTGATTTACTTAGTTACTGCTTTGGGTAATCTTGGTTTGATTGTGCTAATACAAATCAGTTCTCAGCTTCAGACCCCCATGTACTTTTTCCTCTGTCATCTGGCTTTCATTGATTTTTTTGGTACCTCTGCAATCACTCCAAACACCCTGGTGAATTCTTTACGTGAAATTAAAAGTACGTCATTTTATGCATGTGCCACTCAAGTGTGTTGCTTTATCACATTTTCAGTTTGGGAATTATTAATGCTCTCCATCATGGCCTATGATCGGTATGTGGCCATCTGCAAGCCTTTACTCTATGTAGTTCTCATGCCTAAGAAACTCTGCATTCAAATGGTCACTAGCTGTTACATTTATGGATTTACTGTGGGACTCATACAGGCAGTGGCTACATTCCACATGTCTTTCTGTGACTCTAATGTGGTCAACCAGTTCTACTGTGATGATGTTCCCTTGATTGCTCTGGCCTGTTCTGATACTCGAGTCAAAGAGTTGATGTTGTTAACTATTGCTGGGTTTAATGTTTTTTGTTCTCTTATTACTGTTCTCATATCCTATGTATTCATTGTCTTTACCATCTTAAGAATCCATTCTGCTGTAGGAAGACAGAAAGCCTTTTCTACCTGTGCTTCTCACCTGTTTTCTATTACTATATATTATGGGACCCTCAGTTTTATGTACTTGCAGCCCAAGTCAAAACACTCGCTAGACAAAGACAAATTTGCCTCAGTGTTCTACGCAGTGGTGATTCCCATGCTAAACCCATTGATCTACAGTTTGAGGAATCAGGAGGTAAAAAACGCTTTGAAAAAAATTACTGAAAAGTTGTATTCTAGTAATCGATAATGAATTGTGTTGTTATCAAAGGAGTACTGGATCCTGAGTTAGGAGATTTTAAATCCAGGCATGTACAATGATGCCAGTAAGTGTCAGAAAGTGCCAGTAAGTATAGGAGCCTTTGTCCTCTGGGGCTTAGTTTCCTGATGCCTATTTCCCTGAAAATCCCTTGAAGGCATTCCTTGAAAATTCCTTGAAAATGTTTTGACTTACACATAGTAGGAATTTCAATGTCTGTTTGTTTAATAGTCGAATTATAAAAAAGAGATAAAAATCATTCATTCTCTTTGAATGTGAGATGCTTCCACAATAGAGACAAAGAACAAACCACCTTAAAATCATAATTTTATCTTGTTTCACTATGATATTGAGATTTTTAGGTCATCTTGAAAGACATGAACTATGCAAATAACATTACAAATATAAGTAATATTCTCTTTCATAGTTGAACTGAGGGAAAAAGTAACAAGGTGCTTTGTTAAAAGGTTTTGGATTTAAAGTGCCTGAAAAGTGACCTTACTCTTCACTTTACAATGTCGTTATTGATATGGTTGAACATTTTTTTAAGACATTATTTTTTTAGGGCAGTTTTAGGTTTACAGAAATATTGAGAGGGAGGTACAGAGATTTCTCATATACTGCCTACTGTCTCACACGCCTAGCCTTCCCATTATCAACATCACTCACCAGAGTGGTACATTTGTTACAATGAATGAATTTACATTGATGCATCATTATCACTCAAAATCCATAATTTACCTTAGGATTCACTCTTGACGTTATACATTCTATGGGTTGTGAAAAATGTATAATGACGTATCCATCATTGTAATATTTTTTTAATTTTTAAAGATTGGCATCTGAGCTAACAACTGTTGCCAATTTTTCCCCCCTTTTCTGCTTTTTTCTCCCTAAATCCCCCTAGTACATAGTTGTAAATCTTAGTTGCGGGTCCTTCTAGTTGTGGCATGTGGGACGCCGCCTCAACATGGCCTGATGAGCAGTGCCATGTCCACGCCCAGGATCCAAACCAGCGAAACCCTAGGCCATAGAAGCACAGCACTCAAACTTAACCACTTGGCCACGGGGCGGCCCCTCATTGTAATATTACACAGAATATTTTCACTGGCCTAAAAATCCTCTATGCTCTGTCTATTCATCTCTTCCTCACCACCTCTACCCCTAGCAATCATTAATCTTTTCATTGCCACAATGGTTTTGCCTTTTCCAGAATGTCATAGAGTTGAAATTATATAGTATGTAGACTTTTTAGATTGCCTTCTTACACTTAGTAATATGCATTTAAGATTTCTTCGTGTCTTTGTTCTGGTTTAATAACTCATTTTTTTTTTGGCTCTGAATAATATTCCATTGTCTGGATGTACCACAGTTTATTTATCCATTCACCTACTGAAGGACATATTATTGGAAACACAAGCTAGACACATGGAAACATCACAAGGATAAAAGAAAGCACTTTGGCTGACAGCCTCACCAAGTGTCAGTCATGCGACTGAGGTCAATTGGATCACACAACTGTCCTACTGCCCCAGCTGCCACCACCTGGAGAAGGATTATCTAGTTAACCCACAGAAATATGAGAGATAATAAATCATTATTGCTTTGGGCCACTAAGGTTTGGCGTTGTTTTTTGTACACCAATAGATAGTTGAAACAGTCATGATCACAGAATTAATTCCAAATTAATCTGTGCCAGTCTTCTTCTATTTTGCATGTGGGACACTGCCACAGCATGGCCTGATGAGCGGTGCACATGTCTGTGCCCAGGATCTGAACCTGCGAACTCTGGGCCACCAAAGTGAAGCATGCAAACCCAACCACTATGCCACTTCCAGTTTTGATTTTTATAACACCATCTGTCTAAAATAATAATAAAAACTCTTAAATATAAATCATACAGAAGTCTCTGTATTTTTTTGCATTTTTATGTGTATCTAATCTGAAATGATTATACTAATTGCGATTTTCCTCAGAGACTTGACAGAAATTCAAGTAAGCTTGAAAGACATCTATCAGCATGTACACAGCCACAGGCCTCTGAGATTATGTTCATCAATTGTTTTAGAAAGATATTTTAAGTTTTTTCCTTCTGTCAAAAATTATAAAATCTATTTTTAGAATTTCTTTTTAGAGATAATTTAATTTTTAAAAATTTGCAATTAATGTGGAATCAAGTAGTTTTGTGTAACTGGTGACAAGAAGTTAAGAAAGGTCCAGTTTAGTTCTTTGTCTTCTTCTGATGTTGGACTTGTTAGCAACTACTGAGAGAGTATGGAAGCATCCAAAGAGTTTAAATAGCTACATACAGACTGGGAAACAAAATACTGGTTTGGGAAAAAGCAGTTCAAGTAAGCGACTACTTGATTTTCAATGTAAGTTTGTAACAACTCACTTTTACCAAGAAGGTGTTCTTGATAGTTCAGGACCAGTTGCAAAGAGAATAATATTTCAGAATACCTAGATTTTAGTATATCTGGGAGGAAATAAGGCAGGAAAGTTTTGGATGTTGGAAAGAGAATTTGTAGTAATAAATCACAGAGTCTAAGCTGTCTAGGGTAAGAATAGAATAAAGGAGTAACACAGGTAAAGGGTAATTAGTGGAGTGAAAGGAATAGTGATTTGAATAGGTTAATAAAAAGTTAGAGTGTCTTAATCAAGGTGAAACGGAAAGAGCGGAGAGTTGTAGTCATCAGATAATGTTTTAATTTTGGATACTTAGCATTTGATCAGTTTCCAGATGAAACAAGTTTCAAAATGGAGCCACGGGAATGAAAGCTCAAGTCGAATTGTGGTGGGGTCACTGATATCAAGATCAAGAATATGAGAAGCCATATTATTAAACAGGTGGTCTTCATGGGCACTGATGACAACTTTGTGGAAGAGGAACAGAATAATCTTAGTATCAGCATCTTCAATGAATCAGAGGGAGGGACCTAGCAATTCATATGACAACAGTGAAAATGAATATAATCTTGAAAGCATAAGGGGAGTTTACATGAACACTAGATGTAACAGTAAATAATGACAATGCTCAAAACATGAATAATGCTTAATCTCACATGCTAGACTTGAAGAATGTAGAGTTTCAAATGGAGCCACACACAGAGAAGTGACCTAGAGAGAAGTTGGTTTTCAAGGAGAAGCCAAGTTTTAGTTCAGAGAAAGGAGAATAAAGTGATTGAAGATGTGGAGGAGTTTGCTAGTATCAGGAAGAGAGCTACACAGGTTCCAATACATCAGAGAAATGCAAGTACTAGAAAGAATAAGAGCCCAGACAGGCCAGGGATTTGAGATCACAAGTTAGCGAGGTGATGCAAGAACACTTGGAAATATTTCAAAGAGAATAACCTCCTACAGTTATCAGCACGATGGGATTACACAGAGATTTCTGCAGTGGAAACCTCAATCTAAATACTATTAATACTATTAAGAGCTAAAATTGTTTTATTTAACACAATATATAAGATAAGGACTATTCTAAACCTTTGACAAAGACAAAGTCTTAGATTGTCTTTCCAAAATTGCCCTCATCTCTGGTTAATGGAGAAGTTCTTGCTTCTCTGAAAAGTGATCATTTCTATAAACTATCAATCAATGTTAGGGAATCAAGGACTAGTTTAATGAGTTATTCTGCTTCATCTCACACTAATCCTGAAACATAAAGAGGGCTGAAGCTCTCACCGTCCATTTCCATATCTGAAAATGAAGATGATAGCCATATTGCCAATCTATATGGTTGGTATAAAGACGTTCTGAGATGAAATAGTGAAAAAAGAAAATCAAGTTTATCTCTCTTCTGTTCACGTAAAGATCATGAAAACCTGCTTCTTTTTTCTACAAATTCGTCCTTGAATTTTTTTCTTTTCCTGCTTTGTATTTAGATGTTTGAAAGTTCACAATAAATATGTTTTCTGAATCACTTATGTATTTTTAATCATATTATGCCTCTTTCAAAAAAACCAAGACTATCTATATTCCTAAATATTCGTTTTCTCTCTTTAATTTACAAACACCACATGACAACTGAAGGAAAATTAGAAATCGTAACTAACATAAAATAAAATAAAAATTATCCTGAATGCTTGGTATAGAGATAATCAGTATTCAAAAGTTTGTTTATGACCTCTCATATTACTTCTTGTGGAATCATTTTTTTTTAGTAATTTGTCACTTCCCGTTAAGTAAAAATTTTTGAAGGGATTACTACAATTTTTTTTTTTGAGGACGATTAGCCCTGAGCTAACATCTGCTGCCAATGTTCCTCTTTCTGCTGAGGAAGACTGGCCCTGAGCTAACATACATGCCCATCTTCCTCTACTTTATATGTAAAACGCCTGCCACAGCATGGCCTGACAAGGGATGCCACTTCTGCACCCGGGATCTGAACCAGCGAACCCTCGGCTGCAAAGCAAAACATGCAAACTTAAACTCTGCGCCACCGGGCCAGCCCCACTATAATTTTTTAAGGTATTCCAAGAATGTAAAATATTATTTTTATTATCTGTTTTCAAATAACTCTCAATATCTCTTATTAAAATAGTTATGAGATAGACTATTCAATCATGTAAAATTTTAAATAAAATACCATCCTTCTATTTTTTACGTATCTACATAGAGTTTCATGCTTTGGAATTTCTGCGTGGAAAAAATCACTTCACTCTGAAACCAGAAGTAACATGAAGATCCTCCTTTGATTGTGTTCACCATAAGATCATGGTGAGTCAGCCAGCTCCTAACATTTGCTTCATTATTGCCAGTGGAGACCAAAAAACTCAGCAGGTATGGAGGGTTTTAAAAACAAACAAAGAAAAAAAAACTTTTAAATCTATTCCATGGCCAAAGGCAATCCTTCAGCTGTATCTGAGTTTATCCTCTGGGACTCAAAGATAATCTAGAGCTTCAAGCCATTCTCTTTGGTGATCTATTTAGCTAGTGTCCTGGGTAATAATCTTGGTTTGATTGTGCTAATCCAAATCAGTACTCAGCTT